TAGGTCTCCATTCAAAGTTCCATGGGAATTTGAAACCCTTCCCTGGTAAGTCATCGTTGATATCCCGGTCCGTTTCCGTCGCACTCCTGCCCAATTTGGATTGGAAAAGAAAAATCATGCGGATCTGTCGTTTGTCCATGCTGATTTCGACCTTCTAAAAAACCCCAGGAATCACTCCAGGGCAAAACCGATTATATATTTGGATAGAGCAAGAAATGCGCTTCAGAATGGTATAAAACTTGCAAAAATCTAATCGCAAATAACATCGCGGCGAGCATTTGAAAATTGGGTGTCAAAAACCGCAAGAACTTTCTTCACGACCTAATACAATCTATCATGGATTTTCAGAAAAGCTTCGGCGCTTGCCCACAATCGACCCTCAAAAATGCTTATTTTCAAAAGAAGTTCAGTCCATCAAAATATAAAAGTTGCTCTGCAGGCGAACAGGCGGGACTGATATTTCCACCCTTTACTTTCGAAAACATTCAATCCATCAATAGAGCGATTGCTTGGTTCCGAACAAGTACCTATCAAGGAAAATCTGAAAGTACATAAAACAAAAGCTATTTCGCGATTTGATAGATCAACCCTTTGGCGACATCCAGAATGCATCGAAATATCATTGTCAGATCTAACTAGCGTCACTGTGCTTGTATGATGCCTAAGGTTTGTTTGTGGTAGGCAGAAGCATGGCGATGAGAAACTAGGCTTATCCAGTACGTTTGAGGATCGTTATACCCAAACGGTATGTCGCGCTGCGAAACAACTAACTAGAAACCACCGGTCGCGCTATGAGACAACTATCTAGGAAGCGCATTGTCGCTTGAACGGATTAGACCTAACGTAACACCAATTTTATACCCAAGGCCAAAGTGCAAATTAATGGATTCTGTACAAAAATAAATATCGATCTACTTACCTTACTTTTACAACCGTTTTTCTAACGGTTCATTGTAAATCCATTTATCGTCAGCGCTTAAGGTGAAGTAGCGTGTCTTCCAGCGTTCACCTTTCTCCTGACGCATTTTCGCCTCAGCTCGTTGTCGTTGTTCGATCATTCGCTTCGCAGTTGTTGCGATATTGATACGATTTCGAAGCAATGCAGCCGTTACATGACGCCATAACCTAAACAGAATTACTGCCAATAGTTCTGGGTGGGATAGTACCCAATAGGAAAGAACTAGGGGGATTAGGAGAAAGCCAGAATTCTTGTCAAATAAAAAACAAGAAGGAAGCAAAAATTACGTACCGTCGACTTTCACGTTCTCCTTGCTGCATGACCGGAACGCACTCCTTTTTCATTTCCGGATGTGCTTTCACGTCGATGAAGAGATACTCATCACCCCAAGCCGGCTTGGCCATCATCACGTTATTCCACTCTCCTCTAATGGTCATGAATGGCTTCTTCGAACCTTCCCTAAAGTGTTTCACTTAGAACTGCCTTACTAATGGTCAAAATGTCACGATCCTGATATAAAGTTGCTACCTAGAAATCATAACACTGCAAATACAACACTTCGCTCATCTCGAGAAATAATTTCAATGTTTTGACTGTTAGTACTAAAACTAATAATGACATTCAAAACGTGGTAGCTTAATGCATCATTTCACTATCCAACCGTACAAGTACTCACCACTCGCCGAGGCTGCACTTACTAAATTGAGACAAAATTACACAACTAGATTCTCACTACTCGAACTTGGCGAAAAAAAAAGTTTAAGCGAGTAAGGTATAATAAATGATCCTAGTCAGCTAGCATTATTCATTGATTCAGCACTACGACAGGGACGCCGAGGTCGAGGATGACTCTGGAGGTATGAAGGAAGCTAAAGATACCGTCAACCTTCCAAGAAACATTTTTTATGCCAAGTCACTTTTGCTAATGAAAAATAAAACAATTTTTATGCAACGGAAAGTTAATGAAGTGCCCTTTCAGAGTATGAGAAAAAGGATCGCCGCATTAGCCAAGGTTTAGTCGAAAATCAAAGTTCCGCATTTACGAACAAAAACTTGTAATCCTATTTTTACTGACGGAAAAAGGTGCACACGGGCAGCGAAAATGCTGTATCGCTGCATACGAATGGTTCAAGTAAGGACCAGAATCGCTACTGCGACATTGCCGACAGGTTTTCACTGTTCAAGATAGTGTAAGTGGTGCCAAAACCCATAAAAAAGGTTAAAGGATAAAGTTTTCGGCGTTAATCAATCCCGTGTGAGGGATGCGCCCCAGCNCAGAATCGTAGTGGCGTAGTGAATACGTATGTGGCCTACACAATGACTTGCCGTGACCAGCCGATGTACAAGCCAGTGCTTTTATCCTCCCAGACAAGTCTGGTACCAATTCTCCGACCCCGGAGGGGATTGGTTGGTCTAAGCGGGCATCGATCCGGGATTCGAACCCCTGATCGTGCGTGTGATATAGTGCGCCACTTGCCACTACACCTCCGCCTCCTAAAACCCATATAGGAGGATGGAAGGGCCGGCCTGTACTTCGGTTGCTCCTGGAAGTCATTTTGTGTATAAAATAACTATTCAAGCGTCTCAGCAATGTTGGATAGAGCTCTAATGTGCTGGCATATTTTAAAGTAAGACTCCTATTATCAATGAAGAATGAAGGAAAAGCAGAATGTATTGAGATATAATAAAACTTTCCAAAAATGAAATTAAATTAACATGTCGATAGGTTAAAGAATACGAGAAAATCGACTAATTCCCTTACCTATATAGATTTCCCTGAATCCTATGCGGTTTTCCTCCAAAGAACGGCTTCGTCAAGAAATCAATATCAGCATAAAAGCCCGTTTTTTCGCACACAATCTTCACCTGTAACAAAATTCCTTCCCTATAATGTAGGAATAGGAATAAAGCTGTTGGCCTGCTCTAAACGTACTTTACCACCGAGTTCTACCCACGGAGTGCTCATGATTGAACGGCCATAGCCACTCGGGAACGTTACAGTATAGCGTTCGTCAAAGTCGTGCAATATTACTGTACCGCTTCCGATATTGGCAACACCTTAATCAAATCGATCAATATACTAGAACCAACTAACCGGAGGAAAAAAACTGAACATGAAAAATCAATACTGTACCAATCGATAGTCCTAAGAAAGAAGACTTCGTGTAGATGTGAGCATTGAATGATATCCGTTTTGCAGGGTGTTCAGCATAGAATGCGGATACAGGAGGATGATGGCTTACCTGAATTATACCCTTTTAGGTAACAAAACAGTGTCACCACCAAAGCAAACATTCTTATAGAAGAAGAACAAAAAGCAGAAGAGATTTGGTAAATTATCAAGAAAGGGCAAAATAAAGATGGAAAGAAATAAAAGGGAAGAATTCAAATACCTGTTCGGCGATGAACGTCAGCTGGTTCAGATCAGAGCCAGGAAACGGACCACTGTCTGTCTTCTCACCGCTTGGCGAAGCGTCTGGTAGATTGTAGCTGGAATTTTCGCCAGGTAGATTGTAACTGGAAGGAACAAAATGGTGGAAGGATAAATCGCAGCCGATGATAGCCGCGTTATTCCACCAATCAGGGTGTTTTTTTGATGAAACAAAATCATTCAAGAGGGGAACCATTTCAATTTAAAACGTTCGTTTTATGAAGTAACATCATCTGTAATTAAGATTATGTGCAAAGAGGCATCCTATCTAGCAAGTAGACGGAAAACGAAATTCGAAACTTGGTAAACGAAAAGACAACAGACTAACCGACAACGAAACGTTTCACCAAGAATAGGATTGTACGGTTTCTTCGCAACGCCACTCTTTCGTGCAGCATAAAAGGCGTTCAAATAGTACTTCACCACTGATCTTAAACAAAAAGATTGAAAACAGAAACTAAGACCCTGAACTGCTTCAAAATCAAACGAAAGAATAAAAAATAAATGAAAAAGGCTTCAACCCACATAAATCTCTCCTGTGGCGTTTCCAGATCTACTGTGGCCACGAACGCATCAGGGTGCGCGAAGAAATCCGCGTACATTTCCAACAACGAACGGCGTTCCAGGATGAAGGTCGGTAGGGTGACCTTCGTGAGATCCATACCAATACTAACCTGAACGAAACCAGTAATACGATGTAGCACTCAGAATTGAACAGTTTAACACTAAGTAAATGACTTTCAATCAAAATCCCATAGGTGCGAAGTCTAATGTCAACGAGCATACCAACCACACCATGCAAGCACTTTTACGGCAAATTGTTCGAATAATAGGAAAATGCAAATGTTGGTTAGCAGTTCGTTTATAAAACGAATAAAGAAGCCAAAACCCGCAAGAGGAAATCATTCTTTTCTCTGCATTTGAGCCTTGGACGGTGTTGAGCTCACATTAGCTGAATTCCAGGATATTAATCGCCTTTGTCCACTGCCACATTTAAATCGTTCGATAGCCAGCCAGATGGTCGGCTGCCTACGTATGTTACCATTGGCAAACTACTCAGTACAAAACCGTTCACGATCACCTCTCCTGTCTTTCTACCCCTTTTATGGCCACCGTCTACCATAAACATTGTTTTTATGTGAAGGTGTTGAGAATAGGATACTCACTTGACTGAGAAGATGCACTAGGACTGAGCCATGCTCCTGCTGAACATTACCGACATCATGTTCTTCTGCATTATCGTAAATCGCATCAAAATCCTCATGAGAATCGCCAAAGTCAAAATTGTCCGCCTTCTCAAACGACATATCCCTCATCGGACCATCAGGAATTGCCACTTCCGTCTAAAAATATTAGTAATGACAATTTTTGAATTACTAACTAATACAAAGTGACCTAGCCAAAAAAGGAGCATTAAAGTGGAGTATTGTCATAAGCCGTTAGTCCGTTGGAAACTAGTAAAAAGGGAGGCGTTTCAGATAACTAGACGAAATTCCATGACAACGCAGGGCACGCAGCCCTACATAACAGCTATAAGCTAGTCTTCTATGTAAACAGCAAAAAATGAACGCACAAAAAGGGGCTCGATTCCCACGCCGGGAGGACCATGACAATTGCCAACTGATTAATGGGTTCGACTCATTTGACTGCCTACTACAGTTATTCTTCATTGGTCCAAAGCAAAAATGGATAAATCGATGAACTAATACCCGATTTTTTAAAGTTGAACTATGTAAGTTAAAACCTCGAGGACCCTGTTTTAATGCCGAGAAAATTGCGAATGATAAGAAATAAGAAAGGGAAAGAAGTGCAACCAAGCAGCGAAAGGCACTTACTTTGTCCAAATCGATCAGCTCTTCATCGGCGTCATAAAACTCTTCCTCGTCGCTGCTGAAAACACAAAATAAAAGTTTTCTGTGATTCTACCCAGAAAATCTAATCAATCCTTGGATAAAGACCATGACCACTCGAAAGTGAACGAATTGGTAGGAAGTCAAGAGTGTTTTGAGGAAAAATTGAAATAAAAAAGAACAATAGAGCTCCAAATCTCACTATATACTCGGAGCTATCGATGACAACTCTGACGATCTGTAAAAATCAGAACGTGAAAGCGGTTTAGGGTGCTCAATGATTTGGTTTTTGTATGACGGCTTCGCTTTTTATTCAATCGACATTGTATTTGCATTTTGCGATTTGCCAATGGAAAGTACATTTTCTCAATGGATGTAAGGCTCAAGAAAGCCATAGCTCCACAGATGAAAGTCATCCAAACAATTGTTTGTAAGGTGTTCAGCAAAATAATTTACGAGCACTATTGAAGCAAAACATAAGGCCGAGTTAGACCAAGTAATAGTTTGCTTGAAAATTCAAAAATTCAGAAAGCTGTCATCTTTACGTTCGATATCACTAAAGATCAACGTATATCGATGAATTTTGATTGAATACCCGAAATTGAACGAAAAATCAAACACAAAAGACAGAGCAAAGACAGCTGAATTTAAACCTTACAGTGCACTTCGCTCTTCAGCCGATAACTTTGAAGATCTAAAAATAAAACTCATGTCAGTGTAGGTTCAAGTACCAATAAACCAAATTTGCATTCAGCTAAACTCGGTATTGAAGAATCCAGATTTCAACAGCGACACAATTCACTTAAGCGAATAATCAAATCAGGTGAAACCAAAAAAGGGAAATGAACCAAACGGCTCTTGCGCAGGACTGTCAACATCAGGACCGCGTTTGACTCAAAACCTGTCTAGGTGTGAAATCGATTACTTTCCTGAGAAATTTTTCTGGAGCAGTAAAGTATCAGCTGGAGGGAAAAAGGACTAGGGAAGAAAAAGGAGGGCATCGAAAGCTCTCATGAATATTTAAATCTATTCCACGTCGATGTTAATGGATGGGCAATAGCGTTGGAGACAGAATTCCGGAATACTAACGACTTTGTTAAGGCTGCACGATTATCACCGTTTAGTATCCGTTATGTAGAAGCAACGTCAGGGGAAGCAGAAAAGGTTTCAATCAGTTTCAAGAAGATAAACACCAGATGGCAGGGAAACAAGGGCTGGGCAGTCTTGAGGGTCTGACTCATCACATCAGAGAAACGGACTCGTTCACGAAAACTTTTCAAACAACAAAAATGATCCCATCAAAAAAAAAATGTGCTGACAAAGTGATTGAACCGACTGAAACATTTTTGCAAACAACTAACGGCTTTTACACTAAGCCAAAGCCAGATTCTCTTGGTGCCTATCGATCAAACTGGACAACAAGTGTGCCACAGATAAAACTCCATCAAAACATATGATCCCACGGTTGGCGATCGTCCAACCGACACCGGTTCCCGTAGCTATACCTTATTCCATTGTGAATTACTCCGCGGAACTATAATCGCTCCTATTTATCCACGTTTACGACGGCCCGATCATCACTGGACATCCAAAATTCGCCGGTAGTGTAAAATCGAACGCATGGATCCAGGGTACTAACTCGACCCTCTACAGAGTATCAGCTTGAACGTTACAAATTATCAGAAAAAAAAACGAAACGCAGAAGTGGGATCGGTGCTAGCAATCGGCATGCTCTTCCCTTCCTTTTATCATTGAGCTGAGTTGGCTACAATTGCCGGTTCAGCTCGTGATAGAACGAAGAGAAGAGTCCGTGAAAACTACAGAACTTTTACTAAGCACAAGTCATATCCCTTGGGAACAGAAACAAAGGACCAGAAAAAGGGTCAATGCAAATCAATAGCTCGATGATCCAAGCAGATCAATGGAATGAGCAAATAATTTTGATCCAAATGAGGCAATCGTATTGATTTATGAGGTTCTATATGACTTTTCTCCATCTCCTTCTAAAAAGTATTGTAGACTGAACTGCGAAGGAATCAGCAAGGACACTTTCACGGACATTATAAGCATTGAACTCCGGACAGGACTGAGGAGACCGTTCAACAAAGACATTTCCACGGATATAACAAGTTCTGAACTCCTTACAGGACTGAGGAGACCGTATCAGACAGATTATTATCTACTCGTTGAAATACCTTGTAATCTCAACTGAATTTCAATCCAATTAGTACTTCTCAATCCCAAAACAAAGATTGATTCTCTAATCCAGAAAAAAATTAGCGCAGAAACTTCATGTTTTTATTACTGAGAGTTAGATAAGAATTTTGATGGTGAAGCACTCATGGACCATTGGGCGACAGCTTATTTCGGAAATGAGCGCTTCCTCTGCAATGGAGATTTAATGTCGTTGTACCCTAAAATTCCATAGATAAGAGCGGTCCCTTAAAATCGCATATTTTTCTATATGAATTGCTCATTAAGTGGGCAGGGTTTAGAGTTGAGGGGCGGAGCTTCTTCTAAACTTATCCTCCGATTTTTATTTGTCCATCCATCAAGTTAGAGGGGTGACTGCATTCAATTTCAATTTTTTCCAATTCATTTTTCACCGGTAAATCAAACCGCTCTTATCTATGGAATTTTAGGGTAATTCATGCTCGATTACCACAAGTAGCAGGCACGCTTTGGTCCCAAAGTCAATATTATGATGGCCATTGCACTGCCGCCTCTGTGCTTCTGAATAATTCACCGGCTACTTAAAGGCACGGTTCACGATAAAAAAGGTTACTGAGTTCTTCCTTCAGGAATACTCAGCGCGCCCCATGGGTGGTAGAAGGAACCCTCTCGCTCCCACAATCTCGGCGTATAGGGCGTAGTGGAAGCCCCGCTGCTGCCGTAGTTCGCTTTCCCGCCCCTCGATCGGTGTCACGTTAGACGAGTGTCGAGACAATACAGATTGCTGTTATTCGTTCTAGGACCCACGCACAATCAGCTAATCGCCGAGTGTAAGGCGATGTTTTTCTCCCATTCTTTTTTCCTCTGTTTTTCTTTACGCTGCCGCGATCCCTTATTTATTCTCCTACTCCTAGAGGCTGAAAAA